GAAAACACGACGTTGCGCGCGGACGCACCACGCACATCGCGCTACGTCAAAACATGTGCCTAAATGCGTGCATTCTGCTACACTAGGCTGGGAGCCCACTGCCACAGAAACAAATGCACTATAGAATTCAGCCAGGCTTTATAGAGCTAAAATGCGCCTCCCAAACCAGCCTCCATCTTCGCTCAACTCAAGCAAAACTTGGGAAAGGATGAACAAGCTTCCCTCCTGACCCACTTAATGCCACAGGCACCCCCGCGCTCCACATTAAGCTAATGTGAAACAATCTCTCCCACCACCCAGTTCTGTATTTACATTCACCTGCATGGGCTTCACCCACAAAGAGGTGGTGATGTTGGGAAAATCCACTTTTTAAACCACATCTTTAGTCGCTAGGGTAGCGGTTAGAGGGTCTTATGAGATAACTTCTGGGCATTTAGTGATCTTATGTAGCTGCTCTGCAGCACAGGGAGTTGAGCGTAAACAGAAATGTGTCCCCTCTGCTTTCCATTTGTCCCCAATATCCTCCTCCTCCCAATGTCTCAGCAAAGAGTTATTCATTTACCCAGTCATGGGAATACAGGGGGCGGAGGAGCCCTTTGCAAAAGTGGAGAGGTTAATTGTGCCCCGAATCCCTCGGTGCAGTGTCCGGGTGCAAGCTAGCCAGGACAAAGGAAAAGGAAACCCTCGAGGTTTTGCAGGGACAGGAGCTGCTCTTGCCCGTCTTGCCCCTACAGAGTTTGTGCCTCTTTGTGCGCAGGTGAGCAGGCAGGAAGAAGAAAAAGAACCTGTCCTTTGCCATTGTTCCCAAACCAGTATTATTAATTCCTTCCCTTGCGCTGAAGCACAGGGCATCAGAAGCACTAAGAGGTATAGAAAATGTGATTTAATGCAGTTTAAATTAACGGCGTATCATTTCTCTCTCTCTTTCCAGCAGAACAGGGGTGGGATGGTCCCAAGCAAGGGAAGAAGCAAAAACTAAGCAAAAGGGAAAGAAGAGAAGGCTTGCATTTTCCAAAAGCGCTCCTCCTTCCCCTCCTGCGCTCTTCGGCCGAGCAAGGGAAACCTATTCCCGCGGGGCCTCGGCTCCCCATCCCAGCTCGCCTCTCTTCGCGTTCAAGTGCCTTTGCCAGAGAAAGCCGCCGCCGTTGCTTCTGGGCCAGAGCATTCCTGCTCCGGCAGGCTGAGGCGCTGCTGAACCAAAGAAGAAAAACACACTGTAACTTCAAACAGACCCAGCGCGCTTGCACAGAAATCTGGGGGAAGGAACCATTTTCTTCCCAGCCCTTACAAAGCCCTCTGTGACTCGCTGCTGAAAAGCAGGCTTCTCCACACACACACACACACCCTTCCACCGCTCTCCTCCTCGGCCCCTCGACGTCTCCCCTTCTGCGCTCCCTTGCAAAGAAACTGGACTCTCCACCAGGCTCCTCATAGGTCAAGCCAAGAGGAGCAGCGGGGAGGAGAGGGGAGAAGGAGCACAATTGAACAGAGTCGTGTTGCATTTAAAAAAAAAAAAGCCCAGACACAAGTCTAAAAATGTGCACGCTCACACCCCAGCCGACCGCAAAATCCCAACTCTCACGGGTCAGGACGCAGAGGTAACAAAACTAGCTGGGAGTTACACATTTCTGGCACCGAAACCTGACAGGGCAGCGCGAGGTGGCAGAATCCCCGGTTACTAGCAGCTGCGGTTTATATAGAGTGTGCGCATATGGATTTATTGCTGCTATGGATTTATTATTAGCACTAAAGTAATGCATACACTAGATTTACAGTAACTGCTCAAAAACGGCACAGTCTGGATCAGGAAGCAGCTTTTTAAAACAGCATGGGGGGGCACAACACAATGCGCGTATTATTTTTATTTTTTAAGTGAGAGCCCCCGCCCCACAAAAAGGGAATGTAAGCGCGCATTCCTGGTGATCTTAGGGTCAAGCGACCCTGATTCGCAGAGTTAAGTCACAACATATGCCGCACACGCCACTGCTCGGTTTACACGCAGCCCAGCTGGAACAAAAGGCAGAGCAGGAAAAGTGCAGCTTGAGAAGCCAACTCGCGAACCCACCCAAGAACACGCCCCGGAGACCCCAAGCGAGCGCCTCGCGGAGAGAGCCTGGCATGAAGCTGAGACGCAAACTCCTCCGTCTGCAAGGTGGTGCTCTTTTTAAATACACACACGTAAGGGAAACAGTAAAAAAGGGAAAAGGGAAAAAGTGTTGCCATTCCTGAGCAACCCTTTCTATAGCCTCCGATTTGCTCTTCGTTTAGGAGGTTAACGGGGACCTGATCTCGATGACAAGCTGCCACCCCATTTTCTCAAAGCAGGACAGGACAAAGACGCATTGATCTACACGGGCCTGACAATCACAGCGGCGGAGAACGGAAGAAACTTAAGGGAAACACCTGAAGTGTGGAGTGTGGCAGACACTGTACCCACGAAGCACGCCAGGTCAGGGAAATCAGAACACCAAGACGACAATGAGAAGGCAGGCAGACTTGCAGAACGCACAACACTGGTTTTAAGTCTTGTGATGTGTCCCCTTCACGAGATCTTTGTGGGTTTGCCCTGGTTTCTGATACAATCTGGTGACATGCCTGGGCTGTCCCCATCTGGAGAAATGGAGCTGCATATATGGAACAGGGGGGAAATCTATCCCTCTGCAGGAATTTCCTATTCAGTGTAAAAGGCCCTTGTTCTCCAGGAGTTAAATTATCTTGGAGAAAGGGAGATATTCCACGAAGTGGCTGCCTGCCTGTGTTGATGCCTCGCCTTCCAGCTGAGGCACTTCCCAAAAAGGCGGAAAAGCTCCAACCTTGTTCTGCACAAAAGGAGCCAAGGTAATTTGGAAGGAGGCATGTTTCTTGAAAATCTCAGAAGGAGCCAAAAAGGGTTCCTTACACACACACACCCTCCCACCCCTTCTCTTTCTCTCTCATTTCACCACAAACCCAGCGCCTTTGCCATCCCAGCAAAAGAATGTGCCTGTGAAGGAAAACTTGAAGCCAGCGTCAAACAGGGGAGAAGAAGAAAGGAAGTCAAAAGCATGTTTTTGAATGTATCCGAGGGAAGCGATGCTGAAGCTGGCGGGTTTTAAGATCTGATGTATTTGGGGAAATTCACAGGAGCTACTTTTAAAGACACAACTTCCATATTTGTGTGGAAGGGAGGCTGGGAGGTAGATGGAGAAATGAGGCTGCCTATTAAGAAAATTCCCCAGCACTGATTTTTGAGAATGTGTCACATATGTCTGCATTCCAGCTTCTGTGCTGTTCTTCTTGTGCATGCTGGAAACATGTCGTCCCCCCCGCCCAACTCTCATTTTGACAAGATTCAGAACACAAAGGGCAAGATGAACCAAATTTTTTCCCGAGCTTGCTCAAAGGCCCAACACCTTTTCTCTGATGGGACAAAAGCTCGTGATTCCCACGCATTTGGCAAAATGACTAAAGTTAAAACTTCTACCAGAACTGGAAAACAACCAGTTTTCTCTCCTCTGGTCTCGCAATTCAACTGAGTTGCAAGCCTTTCGTCCTGGTTCTTGAATGCTCAACCTTTCGGTGAGGCTAAAGAGCACCATTTCTGGCCTTCAGGACTGAGGGGTTGTGGAAAAGCAAACTTGAAATCTGCCTACACCCAAAAGGAACATTAATGTCTACTGTTCTTTTGCTGAAGATAGGAAGCATATGGGGGGAGATTCCACTAGAATACAAACCTCTCCATTTCTGCTAAAATTGTGCTTTATACTAAACAGAAGTACCATTTGGGCTTAAAGCAGGAATAGGATACTCAGGCTATCTTCAGGTGGCTCCAACAATTTCTGCAGAATCGGAACTTTTAAGTGAGACATCTATGCTGTGAAATGCAACAACTAAGTAAGCCACTGCTCTTACATGTGAGGCTCTCTTACAGAGGGAACTAATTTTAAAACAAACTCTGAATTTGGCTTTTTTAATTTTTAAAGTCTACCACGAACTGCTTCATTTCACAGCTTTGCTTTTCTGTTTAATGCAGGCCAAGTGACAGAAGTGCCCTCTCTGCTTCCCCATTCCCAATCTGAAGAAAACTACATCCTGCTCCCACAGCCAGAAGAAAGCAGTCCAAAGAACTGAGAAAAGAATGCAAACCCAAATTCTGAGCTGCAGAGGTCCAAAACTCACCCGCAGTCAAAGCATGGCGAACTTAGCAACTTTATGGATAGCACTTGACAGCTCTGAGGATCTCTTCTCTCTCATCTGCCACTTACAACACAATCGCCCTCCAAAATCTAGCTGAGCCAACTCTCAGCAACCCACACAACGGGCAGCAAGGCCAAGGCAGGCCAGTTGGCCACCAGCTTCCTTCGCTTGCCCCCCAATTTTGAAGCTGCCGGTGTCATAACACAGGACCTCAACATTAAGCAAGGGTGGCGGCCCTATCTAACGCCACGGTTCAGAAAGTGGGGGGCAGAGGATCTAAGCTAGAAGACCCTGGAAAGACCAGAGACTGGATCTCAGGCCAAGTGGGCATGCTTCGGACTTGATTATTTTCATCGAGGCTGCCACAGATTTGTGAAACGGAGGCTGGAGGGCAGAAGAAGGGGCCAAGTGTTTGAATGGGGGCGGGGTAGGGCAGAGGTGGAACAATTGCCCATCCCAAACAGACAGGGACAATGGCTTCTCTCCAGGCACCCATCCAAGGCAATGGGCGCACGTTCTTGGGCGTGTATGTGGACTCAGGACAGCAGACGCCTCTGGAGGCTGCCTCCCCATCTGATGTCCGATATATTGATAAAGGTTCGTGACCCTGGAAAAGGGTGGGGTTCTTAAGCACCCCCGGTACCCCCAAAACGCAAATATTTAGTGTGTGTGCATCCGCAGAATTCAATGTGCACATGCAGTGCCAAGCTGAGGTTTTCACCATTTCGTTCCCTCGGAATGGGGATCCCCCGACGGAGAGGCCGATCCCCGCGGGAAATTCCCTCCCCCCCCCACTGCCCCCCAAGGGATCCGCGGGGCCTCACCTTCCAATGCGCGGCAGCCGCCCGGCAGCAGAAGCAGCAGCACCACCGGGAGCAGCGGCTGGGGCGCCCCCGGGCGGGCCGCGGCCATCGCGGGGCCGGAGCCCGGCGGGGCGGCTACACAATCCCGAGCCCCCGGGGCGGGCGCGGACCTCCGGCGCGTCGCTGTCGCTGCTCCTCGGCGGGGAGCCCACGGTCCGCTCCCGGCGTCGGTTCGGCGTCCGGCGGGCTGATCTTTGCACCCAAAAAACCTCCCGAAATTAAACTCCTCCAGGCTCCAGCGGGTCGATCCGGTAGTCCCGGGCGGTCCCGAAAGGCGCTGTCCGCCCAAGGCGCCTCGTACTCCGCCAAAGAGAGACAACAGTCTTTGCCCTCGCTTCCTCGCCCGACTCCGCAGCCCGGGCGGAGGTGGCTTTGGACGGGCGCCCTCCGGAACCTCTCGCCGGAGCGGGTCTTCCGACGGCACCAGAGTTCCGCGCGCCTCTCCAAGGACGCCGCTCTCCCCAGCAGCTCCGGGGGTCTCCCTTGCTCGGGTCCGGGGGACTTGGAGCGGGTCAGAACCGGCCGGGGCTTCTCCAAACGACCGCTCCGCTCCGCGATGCGGACAGCGGATCCCCGCTCGGCTTGCTAAGCTCCGCTTCCTCTCGCGCTGCTGCTGGGTCGGAACCGAAGCGGGCTCGTCCAGGCCCTTGCGGACGGTCCGGTGCTGAAGCGCGGCAGGGCTGGAGTGCCAGGATCTCTCCCGCCCCACACCTGGTTTTCTCTTGGGTCCGCGCTGGGGATTCCCCGGCGTCGGGGATCCGCAGAGGGTCCTCCGCCCCGGCTGGAGAGACCCGGGAGGCTCGGTGCGCGGCAGGCTGCAAGCGACTCGCGGGCTCCGCACGCAGCCAGCGCCGCCCCTCGCTGGGGGATCCTCTCTCGGCCGCTCACGCTCTCGCTCTGGGCGCTCCTGCAAAGCCGCCGCGGCTCAGACCCAGGGGGAGGAGCCCGGCTGCCAATCGCGCCCAGGGCCGCGCCCCCGGCAACCAGGCACCCTCTCAGCGCGGGCCAGGCGCGGCGGGAACGCCCCTAGCAACGCCAAGCCTCGCGCTGATTGGGCGGCCGGCGTCCTCTGGGTTGCCGCCTCCCGAAGCGGGGAGGCGGGGCTCCGAGGGAAAGATGAATTGAAAAGGGCGGGCGCTCCGAGACCAGCTCTCAAGGCTCACTGGCCGGGCGGGAGGCACGGCGAGGAGGGTGCTCCACCTAGTGGCCGAGTGGGGGATTGCCAGCTATTAAAGTGCTGCGGTGGGAGGTGGGGGGCTCCCATTCATGAATGGGCAGGATGACATGGGAGGCGGGGGGAGGGGAAGTTAACAAAAGATAGGAATAAAGAACTCCGCAGCCGCAGCAGCATGGAGATAGCGGCAGATTTCGCAGATATGGTATGGTCAGGATTTCACCAGATACTCATGCAATCAGGTAAAGGAGCCATGTGCTGACATAAAGCCTTCTGCTAAGTATAGACCCTATACTTTTCATAGAATCATAGAATCATAGAATCATAGAGTTGGAAGAGACCACAAGGGCCATCGAGTCCAACCCCCTGCCAAGCAGGAAACACCATCAGAGCACTCCTGACATATGGTTGTCAAGCCTCTGCTTAAAGACCTCCAAAGAAGGAGACTCCACCACACTCCTTGGCAGCAAATTCCACTGTCAAACAGCTCTTACTGTCAGGAAGTTCTTCCTAATGTTTAGCTGGAATCTTCTTTCTTGTAGTTTGGATCCATTGCTCCGTGTCCGCTTTCATCTCTGGAAGCAGCCAGAAAACAGCCTTTCTCCCTCCTCCTATGTGGAATCCTTTTATATATTTGTACATGGCTATCATATACAAATATATAAAAAGGATGACATGGGAGGCGGGGGAGGGGAAGTTTTGGATGTGGCAAACATGTTGTACCTGCAACAAGCCAGTGAGGATACTAGAACTGCCTTAGGTGGGGAACCACACTGCCTTTGCCCCACACGTCATTTCACTCATTAGCTGTTCTGTGCACGGGCTTTCTTTCCCATGTCACCACAATATTGCCATCTGGGAGAGGCACTCTTGAGCTGCAGCTCTTAACCTGCGACAACAGCAACGATGTCCGTTTGCAGTTTAAAAAGTTACGGGTTTTCAGCAGGAAGTTATGGAGCCTGCACCTATTGGAAAGGAGGCAGGGTGCTTGGCACGTATAACCAACTTGTGCACGTGGCATCGTTGTTGTTGGCCTCCGTCTGTCTCAAGAGACAATGGACTGTGCCTCCAGGGGTGAAGTCAAACTGCTGCATTAAGCAGCACCGAAGTGACCTCCCCGGGTTGCAAGCCTGGGCAGTGTGTATGGAGCTCCTGGGCTGCCCAGCCGACAAGACCCTCCTCTCGGTCTCACTGATGGATACCTGAAGGAGCATCTCCACCCCCCTCGTTCTGCCCGGACACTGAGGTCCAGTGCCGAGGGCCTTCTGGCGGTTCCCCCCCTGAGAGAAGCCAAGTTACAGGGAACCAGGCAGAGGGCCTTCTCGGTAGTGGCACCCGCCCTGTGGAACTCCCTCCCACCAGATGTCAAAGAGAAAAACAACTACCGGACTTTTAGAAGACATCTGAAGGCAGCCCTGTTTAGGGAAGCTTTTAATGTTTAACAGATTACAGTGGTACCTCGGGTTAAGTACTTAATTCGTTCCGGAGGTCCGTTCTTAACCTGAAACTGTTCTTAATCTGAAACACCACTTTAGCTAATGGGGCCTGCTGCTGCCGCTGCGCCGCCGGAGCACGATTTCTGTTCTCATCCTGAAGCAAAGTTCTTAACCTGAGGTAATATTTCTGGGTTAGCGGAGTCTGTAACCTGAAGCAGCTGTAACCTGAAGCATATGTAACCCGAGGTACCACTGTATTGTATTTTAATATTCTGTTGGAAGCCGCCCAGAGTGGCTGGGAAAACCCACCCAGATGGGCAGGGTATAAATTATTATTATTATTATTATTATTATTATTATTATTATTATTATATTACTGATGGGGTCCATAGGAGCCAGCTGGGTTGGAGTTGCCAGAAGGAGGTGCACAAGGTGCCACTGAACCATCTTAGGAACTCCACTCCAGATTTGGCTACTCCATAGCCATTTCTTCTCCTGAAGACATCCCACAAGGCAGTGGAAGTTTAGGACCAGCGTTTACCTGCCCCTAGATGGGCTCCTTTCCTATGTGGACGCAACTGGGGGGGGGGGCATGACGCACCACCCTTGGGGGCGTGGCATGCGTCCCGAGGGCGTGGTGCACATCCCAGGGGCATGGCACGACGAGGATGACATGGGAGGCGGGGGGAGGAAAACGACAAGCAGCGCGCGCCCCGGGAGGTGCCGCTGATTGGGAGTTGGTATTTTGTCGCACCCCCTTTGGAATGGCACCCAGGGCAGACTGCCCCCCTGCCCCCACCTCGGAACGCCCCTGAGCCCTATCTGCCCCTCACTTCCCTCTACAGTGCAGAAACTGCCTTCTTCACCGTTGGACCTCCTATTGGTCTGGTCTGCTCAATCCACCTAAGGCTTTCTTCACATGCAGGCGAACTCTCTAACTCCCCGAGGGTTTGAAAGCCATTGGCTACTCTCACGTGGTTTAGCTGGCCAGCTGAAGCCGTTTCCTAGGGTGTGGCCAATGTCTCATTCTGGCAGCTTCTAGGAGCCCCAGGTGAGAGCTGAGTGCAGGGTGGGGTCCAAAGGTCCAGAAGGAGCACGACATGTCCCCACCAGAGGTATTGCCCCTCCCCTAACACCCCCCCCCCAAAACTGCAGGTGCTCTAACAATAGCTGGCTGGAGAATTTGAGATCCAGGGTTCCTCTATTAGTCAAGGATCTACCGAGGTGAAAGGAAGAAGGTGACAAAACACCCCCATTTTCACACAGGGTGTGGGGAGACTCACAATTCCGCACGAAACTGGGCTGCTGAGCCTGTGCTTTCCCCCTGACCTCACTAAATCAGAATGCACAGGTTTCTAAAGGTGAGCCTCTTCAAGCACACCCGAGCCTACCCAGATTCCAAGCTAGTGACCACAAAGCAATGCTCTGGATTTGTGTACATCTCAGAGGAGTCGTTGAGCAATCACCATGACAAATAAGATACTGAAACAGCTGAGAAAGTCACCGGCAGTGTGGTACGGAGAGGGGGAAGGAGGGGCATCATGCATCAGTGTTCCAAATATGAGGAAGTACATGGGAGCTGCTTCCTCAAGACCTCAACCTGCACTTGCGGCGGGAGGAGTCACCAATGGTGAAAGCTGCAGCTGCTTAATTTTGCCTTCTCCCTATGCCACCATGAATGGGGCTTCTCTGTGGTTCCTCTGTGCAGAACTACTCGCCATCCAAATCTCTTTCCAGAATGCCTAACCCAGTGGTGGGGAAAGCCAGAGCGACCCTCAAATCCTTTCCATCTGGCCCCTGGGACTCTTATGAGACGACACTCAACCCCAGGACATTCTCCCTCTCTGATCTTGCTCCTCAAGGGCTTTCCCCTCCTCTAGGGCTTTCCCCTAGCTAGAAAGGATTCCCCTTGAGCCGTAAAGATGCCTCTCACTTGCCTGAATAAAGGGTGTGTACAAACCCCTGATGTGTGTGTGCCTGAAATATACACAGATAAGGGTAACATCTGGAAACCCAGCCAGATGGGTGGGGTATATCATCATCATCATCATCATCATCATCTGCTGAACATCCAACTTTGACCCAGCTACTTCTTGCCTCTGGCCCTGCCCACTGCAGGCTTGTGGCCCCCCCAAATGTTGCTTGTGAGGGAACGTGGCCCTGAAAAGGTTTCCCCACCCCTGGCCTAACAGAAGCTGGTACATGATGTGGCGTCATCTCAATTGATGTCCCTCCACCACCTGAATTCAGCAGCCACCAGAGAGGTCCATGAGAGGGAAATGTTAGGCTGATGTCAGAAGGTTACCAAGCGTTTTCAGGTGGATGCCACCAGGTAATGCGGAGAAGGGATGCAGTAACCACAGCGATGTTGCCTTTAAGACAGGCCTTCCTCTACCTGGTGCCCTTCCAATGATCTGGCCTCCAGCTCCCATCAGCCCCTGCTGATGGAGAGTGGGGTTGTAGTCCAGCAAGACACCAGGGTGGGGAAGGCTGGCTCAAGGTAACCTCTAACCTGGTCCTTATTTGCGAGTGAAATATTCTCTGTGCCTGCTCAGAGGCACTATTGCTTACTTTCATAGGTCCCAAGGACCGAAGGCATTTAAAATCTTGCTTGGAAGGCAAGTATTCTGCCACGACATCCTGGCC